ACCTCAGGGCTGCGGTCATCACTGCAAGACAAGACGGTTCCAGGCTGCTGCGGCTCGGCACCACCTCCAGCACGGCACCACCTCCAGCAGCTTCTGGGGCTGGGCAGGGGCGGGCAGCCCGCGCCGACCCACCCGGGCTTCATCTCCACCACGGTGTGAGGTTTCTCGTTGGCACCCAACACAGACTTCATCTGGGTGGCAGATTCGATGCGGGTTTTGAAAACCTCAGGGCTGCGGTCATCACTGCAAGACAAGACGGTTCCAGGCTGCTGCGGCTCGGCACCACCTCCAGCACGGCACCACCTCCAGCAGCTTCTGGGGCTGGGCAGGGCTGGGCAGCCAGCGCAGACTCACCTGGCATTCATCTCAACAGCGTTGTACCCCGCATGCTTCGCGATGACATGGGCCAGCGTGGTCTTTCCCAAGCCAGGCGGGCCACAGAGCAGGGCTACCTGCAGCAAAGGGGTAACGTCAGCCCAGCAGGCAGCAAGGCATGGCTTCGTCCAGCACCGACCAAGGCTGCCACACACAGGGACGAGGCTCTGCAGCCTGCAAAGTGGTCTGCTTCAACCCTTGGGAGCTGCTGCACTGGTTTGTAGACATACTAAGAAAAGAGAAAGTCACTAGAGGAAGGAGAATATAAGAGAAACTCTGAGAGGCAACAGTCATCCTGGCAGCATCTCTCATGCACTTGTTTAAGTTTGCGGGGCAGTAAATGGAAAAAGCTCAACAAAATCCCTTCCAGAGCTACACTCCTGAGAAGCAATACTGTTAGTATCTGGTTTTGTTTCCCCTTTTTTATATCCTCTCACTGGACAGGTTGAAGCTGGTTAGCTGGCCTGGGTATGTTGTCTCTGCTTCCTTTAGCATTTGAGCATCATTGCTCTTTTCCAGATGCAGAAACTCTCGCTCAAAGGCATGTCACGTCTGCCCCAAACAAATAAAGTCAAGACCAGCTTCTGTTACGTCTTTCTTCAACGAGCCCATTTAATTTGGCTGGAGAAAGTCTGCTCCCCTCCCCTTGTTATCACATTACTCAAGCCAAAACAGAAAAAGAAATGAGAAAAACCCATAATTGCTAAGGAGAAACAAGGAATCCAGTTTCTGCTAGATCTGTACTGGAAGACCCTGCTCTTCACCATGGTGGTGGGATGAGGGGGACAGGAGAAGAGACCCACCACAGCAGGGTGCTCACCTTGTATTTGGGTCTCTTGTGCTGATCCAGCTCAGCCTCCAGAATCTCCTCTGTGAGCTGGACCTTCGTTTTCCACTTATTCTGCTGCTCCTTGGGCTGGCTGAATGGAGGATGAGCCTCGGCACTGGGCTTGGCCTTCTTCACAGCCTTCTCCTTCCCGAACACCACCGTGTCCCAGAGTTTGAGCCACTTCAGAAGGCAGCGGTTCGTGTACTGCGTGTCAGGCAAGAAAGCAGGCAAACCCTGTTGAACCCCAAAAAGCTCTGGCCGAGGACAGAGAATGGCCTCTCCTTCATAGCTTAAAAATTGACATGGTGTGCAGAGGAAGGAGCCGAGTCCAGGGAGGCAACGCAGAGCATGTCTGCCCAGACAGACCTCGAGCGCACGGCACATCACCCCCCCACCACGGGAGAGGCTGCCCAGGTTTCCACCCAGCATCTCTGTGGGACAGACTCAGATGGTGGTTTCCCTTCCTGACTTGGCCACCATCCCACGGGGCAACTGAGGACAAGTCACATCGGCCCCATCCCTGCTGTCCCTCGTCTGTCTCGGCTCAACCCAGCGTTTCTCAGCCTCTTCCATAACTTCCAATTCCCTACAAAACTTCTAACATTCAAAAAAAAAAGTCAAAATAGCCAACAATGCCTGGCTAAAGTCCACCCAATCTTTTTTTTCTTATTTTGGTCATCTTTCATAGTCTCTTTTGTCAGAAGGTCTACGGCCTACAGCTGAAAAACCCCTGCCCTGAGCTCTGCACAGCAGGACTGCCCCCAGACAGGGCTAGCATGTACAGAGCCCCCCCGCCAGCGCTTCCGAAAGCCCCACGAGCAAAGGCAGCACCATAAAACCATGACCTCACAGTATTAAGGAGATTTAAAAAAGTGGTAAGCCCACCTGAACCCCAAGTCCCCACTTATCCTAGAACCTCACATCATCACTGAGCAGCTCCATGTAGCGCCGGGGAGTAAACTTGTCCACCCACAGGCAATGCAGCGCAGACTCCTCCTCGTCTGCCGGCTCCGTTTCCCCGGTGAGCTCTGGGCTCTCGGCACTGGTGTCGCTCTCGAGGCAACTGCAAGAAAGAATTAACTTGCCCCAAACCACCCAGGGAGTCGGGGCAGGGCTGGGAATCACACTCAGACTTCCCAAGCTGAGGATGCTCAGGGCAAAGAGGCTCCTCTGCTCGCAGGTCCCCAAAACCTGGACCCCACTGGAGCATCTTGGGAGCTGTATCCGACAGTGTGGCAGGGACAGGAGTGGGATTTCATCCCAACATCTCACCTGTTTATTATCTCTGTCAGCTGCTGCGATGCCTCCAGAACACGCCTTCGACGCTTGAGCACAAAGAGGGCGAGAGGGGGGTCAGAGATGCCCCGCTAACCCGGGGCTGGGGGGAGCGGGGATTCGGGAGCCAACACTGCGGCTATCCAGGGAAAGACAGGAAGGTCAGTATAAGATGTGATACCTCTTCATCCACTTGTTCCTTCAGGTAGGAGAAAGGCACCCCCAGCAAGTGGAGAGGCCTGTGTGCATTCCAGCCCAGGGAATCGGGGAGCTGCAAGGAGCAGAGGACACGCACCGACATTCAGCACAAACATTTCATGTTTCAGCAAAGATCCCCTCCTGAACTGGATGGAGGTCACAAAGAAGCAAGCCCGGCCTTCAGATCCCTCCTTACTTCCACTCCTGTCCTGAAGGGATCATCCCTCACGACCATGAAGACCCTGGTGCCCTCAGTGGACGTCACGTTGATGTAGTCCTCCAGGATGGGTGGCCGCTTGAGGACCCGCTTCTTCTCAGAGGGCGGCGTGGTCTGCAGCGGGGCCATGCCGCTCATCTCCAGGCGGTCCGAGCTGGAAAACATCAGGTTCCTTTAGCAGGGGCGAGGGAAAGGGGCCTTGAACCCCCCACCAAAGGTGGAGTTCAAGGCCCCTTTCCCTCACCCCTGCTAAAAGTGGGGTTCAAGGTGGCGAACCTGGCATTCTGGGGAGGAGAAGGTGCCTCTGGGCCAGGCACAAGCATGTCAGCATCCCGGAGGCCATCAGTAGCCAACTCATCATCCGTGCCAAAATTGAGCTTCTTAACAGCTTCCAAGCGCTGTCGTTTCGCCTTCGGCGCTGCGTGAGAGACCAAGGCATGAGGAAGAAGAGAAGAAGCATCGTCGACCGAAGGGTGGGACCTGCTGCTTCTCCTGCACCGCTCGGGGAGCGGCGGGGAGAGGGGTCAGCAGCACCCAGCGACCCATTGGGGCTGCAAAACCTCTAACAAACCCAGCTTGAGCCAAACCTACTGCGGGCTGCGGGCGGTGGCGGGGAGCCGGGCGGGACGCAGCCCCGGTCCCTCTTCCTGGGGTTGGTGCCCCCCGGGCCGCTGCCCACGACGGGGTCTCCCGGGGGGTCGGACTCCTCCGGCGGCTGCCTCCTACCTCGAAACTGGGAGATTCTGGGACCAGCGGGTGGGGATGGGTCATCTGCAAGAGGTGTTACACGACGGTAGTGCCGGTCACCGGAGGGGACCCACGGTGGGCCGGGCACGCGCGGCTCCGCGGCGGGCCGCGCAAAACCCGGTCCTGCCCGCCCGCTCCCTCCCTCCGCCGCCACCCCCGGTACCGGGCACGGCGCCCCAGCAGCACCCACCTCCCAGCTCGGC